CTTGAGCGGAGACGAAAATCCTCAGAGTAGATAACACAGAACTGAACTAAAGCTGTTACGCCATCTGCCAATTTGCACTATGTCCAACCATTTTCCGGATTTCTCTCTCACTTTTTTTTTTGTTGAAAGTGAAATTTCGGAGCAAGGCAGCCAGCAAGTAGCAACAGAAGAACCAAACAAAGGTTTGTGCCAAGCGCCGTAACTGAGGTTATTATAACTTGAGTAGAGACGAAAAACTCTTATAGAGAAAACGAAATGAACTGTCCGATATTTGGAGGTTTTCACGCTCAGTTGTAAGTTTACCCACAATAATGAAATTTTAAACTCAGCAAACACTCGTAGAGTATACATAGTTTGGCGTTCAAAAACAAAACAGAACAAAACAACAATTTCAGTTTGTGAACTATTGCAAGTTGTAAACTTTGATGGTTTGCAAACTTTGTGGTTTGACATACTTGACAGCTTGAGTCTTGTTCAACCAATAAAATTATTTGAACCTTTCTAACAAGGGTTCTGATTGGCTTATTATGGCGTGCTTTATAGGAGAATAGAACATGCTGACGACTCTGTTGTTCGCTTTGGAAATAAAGTTTGTTTTGAAAATTGAAACTGACGAGAGGAGAATTTAACGGATTCTTTATCATAAAACAAATAGAAAAGCGTTGATTGTTCTCTTTCTAGCTTTTCCTGAAACCCTTCTTTTCTGTTTTGCACATTTATTACTGGTGTTCGATGATGTGGAAAGGGGGACAACTTTTTTTTAAATGTTATCTATGTAATTTTTGTTTTTACTGTAAAAGTTGAAGGAGAGATCCCCAAAATATCAGTCGGCCAACTGTCGGCCGACTGTTCACCGACAGTTGGCCGACATAATGAACACAAATTCAGAAACGAGTAAATAGACTGTCATCTTGGTAAGTTTGAACTTTCACAATTACCTCAATATAAATTTTGACGAACACCACGCGATAGAGGTAAATTTCGAGTGCGAGGCATTATTGACCATATCGATCTTCATTTATGTGAACTTGATGCATAGTATCTGACTGACACATTTTCGTTGCGCAAAATTGCACGAGCCCGTGTTTTCGTTGTGTTTCTGTTGTGTTTTCGTTGTGTTTTTCTGTGTTTTGTTCGCCAACAGTCGGCCAACAGTCGGCCGACAGTCGGTCGACAGATATTTTGGGGAACTGTTCTTCAATTTTACCGTTTTTACTTAGGCGTTTTCTTACCAGCTGGAAGGGAATTTGTCGGCATATGCACTGGTGTCATATGCTTCCTAAAACACAGGGCAGGAAATGCACCCTGCGGCGCTGAGCCCATTGCTTCCAGATCTTCCGATGGCCATGGAGAAGCGAGTGACGTGTTAAACCATAAGACAGGTGTCATCAGTGGGACAGAAGAAAGAGAAAATTCATGGTGGTCTATTGATCTGGGCTCAAGCCATCTGCTTGTGATCACACACTACGCTTTAAGGCACGGCAAAAGAGAGAAAGAGTCAGTCCTTACCCAATGGCAGTTGAAGGGATCCAATGATGGGAAGGACTGGGAAACCATTGAAACTATTCACGACAGGAATGATCCACAGTTCATAGCTCCTACTCTATTTTGTACTGGCAAATGGTCTGTAAAAGGGGAAATAGGGCCTTTTCGCTTTTTTCGAATTTTCCAGACGGGTGTTAATTCCTCTGGCAAATATGGAATACACCTATCTGGAATTGAGCTGTACGGAGTACTTCTAAATATCTGTGAGCTAACGGCTAAGGAGGCTTTAACCTATAAAGTTTTTATCAAGCAGCCAAAATAGATGGTAAACTCTCAGAAAGCAAGGTTTGTGTACGACTTCCCATTAAAACTGTCTTTGAGGGGCCAAATAAGTTTTTCTTTGTATCTTCTTATATTTTCATGTAGAGTGTAATGTTTCTCTCGTTTTGCCACATTTAGGAGATTGCAATTCGCTGCTTGGTTTTGAATGAAATGTAATTTAAAAAAGGTTAAGATGCCATCCCCTGTGATCAGTTTTAAAAGGGCATGTCATATCAATATTTTATAAACAGTTACATGAAATTGTAGACATTGAAAAGTAAGTGAGTGAAATAGCTTGCGAGTTGCCTATGCTGCTGGAGTATTTATGTAAATAATCACCTCACACAACCTAAGCGATTGAGTGTTTCATCTTTGCATTTTTGTCTGTCCGAGTTTGTAAAGAACAACTGATTCCTATAGGAAATTGTTAGGTTATTGGATTCTCCATAACCGGAGAGTAGGGGAAAATTATGAGCATTTTCAAAATGGTGATACGGACTGTAGCTTTTCGAGTGCCTAGAATATTGTCAGCTTTTTTTTATAATCCATAAAATTGTACTGCTCGCAAATGTTTGGTTTAAATGCGTCACGTGATCATTTTTGCCCCAATGAAAAATTTGGGAATATCCAGTGACATTCCCCAATTTTCAAACCTTACGTTGAATACAATAAAAGCCGATAAAATTTAATTCTAGGTGAGGGAGCATTTTTCTGTCGTTCTAGAAGGAAAGACATGTGTGTTTGTTAATACATTTGGACCAGAGAACATCGAAAGTGAACAACGCACGCAGTAATCGGTAAGCAGTTTGTAAACATTGTGTACCACGCATTCCGCAAATATTTGAAGGATAATGAACACAGAAGCCTCCATTTGGCGCGAAAAGATGAACAGATATTTATCAACAGACAGCATATGTGTTCCGAAAAGCGAAAAATTCTCCGAGAGCTATAGCTTATTGAATCCTGAAAAACGCTGAGTAGGAAAGAATTTTTACCGTTTTTATTATGTCTTCCTATTTTTCAGTAACGTTAGTAATAATTAAAAACAATTTATGGAGTTTCTCTTTTATAAAGAGGCTTTACAAGTGTTATCTTTTTAGTTGCTACTTTTCCTCTCTTATGTATCTTTGTCAGCACGTCAGTATTTTGGACGAGCTTTTGGTTGAGAGACTTAAAGCGGATAAATAAACGACGTTTTGTTTTGTGTTTATTTGTTGCCTGAAATACAAACGTGAAAATGATGTAGAAGTAGAACAACTTAATTGGCTCAGAGAGTTTTAATGAAAACAAATACTTTTTGATTTGGTTTAAACGCAACGAAGTATTTTTCTCTAAATAAAGTGCCGAGTAAGGATAATTCATGAAAACCGGGCATAAAGTAACTCTTGAGAGAAGAATTTGCTCGAAAAGTCATGAACAGGCAAACGTTGCGACTCAGTGTCGAAAATGATAAACTAAATAAAGTCGTGCAGCTCTGGTTTTCTTACAAACGCTGCAATCTGATTGGCCACGTTACTCGCTATTTATTCCATGACAGGTGGTGAGTAACCCAAAAGTCTGCGTTAGGAAATAAAATTAAATAAACGAATGAGTAGCCTGTGTTGTTAATTAAGTTTTTTACGATTGGTAGATTTATATAAACGATTAGGTCATTCGCTTTAGATCTCCAAACTTGTCAGGTTATTCTCGCTTCGTACACATCAAACTTTCACACGGTAGAAATCTTAAGTTCATTATCTGCTTAACGTTTTCACTCTCATGAGAGACCAATGGTGCGCTTCTCTTTGACTTTCATCACATTTTCAAGCAAAAAGGGGAGGAGAAGATAGAAAAATATGGGATATTGTTTTATTTCACCACAACATTCTTAGAGAAAGTGTAGCGAATTGATATTAAGATTTTATGGGTGTAAGGGTTAAACAGTTTCAGTTTAGATACTATCACTAACACTGACCTGAACTGAATTGTTGTGGAATGCCTTCGCAGTCATCCAACTAATACGCCGGTTAATTCGAAGATAAAATGTTGTTTAGTTATCCTAAACATTTCTCACAAAGAAATGTAGCGGATAGTCAGCATTTCTGTTTTACTGACCAGGGAGGTAGGCAAGTCTTTACTAGAATATAAACTTGTGAACCAGTTTCTTTTAAAAAAATTATTACAAGAACTGCTGATTAGCAGCAATGCATTGATTCATGTGCAAATTATCACTTTAAATATATCAAAACATGCCAGAGTTTGTAATCGGTCCTTGAGTTCCCATCACCCGACGCCTGGTCGGCTACACTGAGCAGCATCGTGCAGTAAGGGCATCACGTGAGTTTAATTTTGTCAAAGAGCAGTGCCGTAAGCTTCTCAACAAGTTACGTTTCTGGTGCACAAGACAGGATCGATGTAAACGGTAAGCCTTTTCATAAGAGTAGTCAATACATGGTCGCTGAACCTAGGAGTAAATGGCGATCGTGGAGTTTGATTACCAGGTTGGCGCTTCATCCAATGAAATTTAGATGTTCGAGATCGGAGTAGACGCGGAACAAACAATCAAATCCTTCCTTACGCAAGACGGTTGTTGTCACACGATTTCATTTTCCAAACTAGTTTTAAGTTCTATGGAAATGCACCAGCAATGGCGTTCAACGACGCTATTATAGAACGACTGTCGTTCTCGGATAGTAAATCCCTTCGTCATGCTTCGTGGCCCAGACTAAAAAATGCCGACAAACCGAACGTAAGTGCACAGCAACTGTGCACCAAACGGAGTTAAAGCGGCCAACGGGGAAAGTTCAGCTAAGAGCTGCTTTTCGTGGCCCAATTTCCCTTGAAGTACCCCATCAAATGATACTTTGAGAAAGATAACTTGATACCGGGTGAAGAGAAATGCGGCGATTTAGATGATTTATCATGTAGACGTAATCATCGCGGGTTAGACTCCTTCGTTTCATAAGGGATATAGGGATGCAAGATTGTTTCATAGCATGAGAAGTTATGAGAAAATGAAACATCAAATCTATTAGGGTTCTGGAATTTTCAGGAAATTGAAGCGATTTATAATTATCTTAAGATACTACTTAAAATCACGCATAATGCTTAGACATCATTTATCATTCATAACCATTGAAACGGGCAAACTAGAATGTTTTTGTGAAATTGTATGGTATTTGACCATAACTTTTGCATTGGAAGAATTTCATAACGAACGTAAACTTGAAAGAAATCCACACTAAAAAAAAACAGCCAGCTAGATTAAGACTCGTTTATATTAGCCAATCAAATTTCAGATAAATGAAAGACAAAGAAGCCATCGCGTGAGAAGTTTTGCAACTTTTTGTAAACAATCAATTGATATATTTGTACTGGTGCAATAAAGTGGTAATTGAACTTTGCATCGTGAAATTTTTTAGCCTGAAATCATAGTTGTGATTTCAGATCGAACTCGCATTCTATGCTGGTTAGATTTTGAACAAGACCAAGAGATTATAAACAGTTTACAATCTATTGTTTCAGACCTAACAATATTCATGCAAAACATTTGGCGTGCTCACCGGCTGAGAACGCGTCAATTAAATCCAAAAACAGCAGAAAGTTGAAACTGAGTGCACAAAAATTGAGAGAAGAAAAGTGATTAATGTTAATTGACAGGTAAGTCGCTAAAGCACAACAAACAAAATGGCGGAAAGGTGAGGTGATAATTCAGACTCGAGGAAGAATACATAAAAACAAAGACACCCAACAAAGGAAAAACAATCGGCTAAAAGTCTGAAAGTCTTCTGCATCCAAAAATGGCTATGAAAGAATGAACCAGAGACCCCGAATAAAATTCTCGAGGAGTTTTACGTAACAATTCGTACGAAAGCCAGGACGAATACCAGCGCGATGGCTTTAGTGTAATGGTCATTATTGTCGACCAATACCTAACGGAGGAATGGTACATAGGCTTGTTGAATCGTAAAAGAGAGTTAGGACGATTGAAGCAAGGTCTTGAGGGAAAAGCCCGACCACTTCAACAACAAGACAAAGGCAAGCGGCCAGAACTAGTGAGCCATGACATGCAAAGTAATTTTTTTGTTTGTAGATTATTAACTAGAAATCAGATGCTTTTCTTGTGCAATTTGGAATCAATCAGCACCCGTAAATTTGTCAAAGAATACAATTTAATAAGCCTTCGGAAAATTAATCTCTGCTGATTTATCCCAAAATACACTCGAAATCATGTGAGGTCCGCATAAAACTACCAAGGGCCAATTTTCAACAGTACGGCTCGAGCGAGCGAGGTTAATATGTAAATTATTAAATGGCACTAGGACTAAACTTGTTCATTTTGACGAAGCGCTAACGCTCGAAATGTTAGCTTTGAAACTATCTAAGGAGGCCAATTTACATTGTTAACTCAGTTGATAAAACAAAATTTGTCTTGTCATACTTCTCCCCCTGACGCAGCATCACAGTTTCTTTAGAAACTTACCCGCTTTTTTCACCTATCACTCTTCCACTGGTAGTGGAAATAAGGCCTGAAAAAAAATTTAATTATCCCGAATTGTTCTAAATATACCAAAGTTTACCAGAGTTTACAATAGGTTATTGGGTTTCGTTGACTTAACGCCGAATATAAACTTAAATATGCAACTTTATTTGTAAATTTAGGCTCATCACGATATACTAAAGCCAGGATTAATTTCCACCAAAAACGAATGGCTCTCTGATTTCTCGACAACCTCAGTGAGTGGGATCAAAACATCATCGGAGTCAAGTTATGGCGGCCATTGGAAGGGTCGAAGGTAACATTTTACCATTTTTAATCAGCATCGGGAGAATCAAATGTTCTAGTCTAAAAACAGGGAAGTAGGCACTTGATCAAAGGAATTTCACCTGTTCAAGTACACCCTATCAAATCCATGTTTCCCAAACTTTTCTTGCTCTACGATTATATTTTCCGACCTACATTTTATGTTTGTAAGGAAATAATCCAGCAATTTTTTTCAACGACGATATAAATGGAATGTCTGTGTGTTCTGATATTAATTCCCTTTGTCTTGCTTCGTGGCTCACTTCAAGAGAATGCCACAACTGTGACTCCACCGCTGACACAGTTATACTGCGGCCACTAGGCAAAGCTCAAGCAAGAGCTACCTTTTGTTACCGAGTTTTCTTTACTCCGTCACTTCTATAGCTACCAGTCTTTTTCCATTGTTTCATGTAGGATATAGGGAGGCGAGAATGTTTTAAGGAATTAGAAATTACGAGAGAATTAAAAATGAAGCTCTGTAATGCTCTGCTAATGGTTCTGTAATGCTGATGAATTTCGAATGATTATCTAAAGCTGATACTGTTAAGCTTGTGAAATGAATGGTCTTTTAAATTGTGTTATTATTGGGCCATAATATAGGTACGTATTTAAATCCAAAAAAATCATTTTGTAGTACAGTATGTTAGATTAACAATTGTTTGCGGAAGGGAATTAAGCAAAGAAATGGTCGATGCAGGAGGAAAGCAATTGCGGAAAAGAAGCCTGAAAAAACTTCAGAGATCGAGGAAAAGTTTTTCTTTCCCTTTCTCTTTATCGTGTTTTCCCTAGGAAAAAGAAAGGCTGGATCCAGTTTAGACTGGCAGTAGACAGCTCGTGCCGTCTTGTATGGGCTGTTCCCTAGTCTTCGTTTTCTCGACTCTTGCACTGTCACACCATTGCGTTCCCCCCCA